TATTTACTTACAGGACAATGACAACATCCGTCTGATATGAATTTGAATAAAGTCTCACCTAAACTTCAAACTTTATACTTCCATTTTGAGAAATTCTAATATTTAAATTGTTTTGCTATGTGTCGCTATGTTTTTAGTTTTTAACATACTTTAAATTGTCTAATTACAGGAACTCTCTCACTTGATTTTGTGACTTTTGCTTAATGAAGTTTTTGGGTTGTCAGTCTTTCAAGTTCGCTCAATAGGGAGAATGAAATGAATCAGTTAACTTTTTGGGAAACCTTCGTTATTTAGCTTTGCAGGTAATATTTTTTCCCATATTTTTGTGTTATATGTCACTCTTCAAACAGTTTCACTTCCATCATCAAAAACTCAACTTTGTGAATTTACTAACACTACACAAACCCCCGACAACTCCCTATGCTATGGTTTTGGGATTGAAGAAGATTAGCTACTGAAAGCGAACACCAACATCCTCTACATATGATAAACAATGACATGCTAATCTTATATGTCAAAAAGTAAAACTATATTATTTTGGTTGTATTACCTTAGTTAGTATGCATAATTCTGATGTTTGTTGAACATATTCTGAATATTTCTAATAGTATATGACATATGACATTATCTATCTTATGCATTAGCCATCACCTATGATTCATTAATACTATATTTTGACTATTGGGCTTGTGCATACATTTATTTAGGTTTCTAATTTTAGTTCATCTAAAATTCTTAAAAATATTTCTCTAGTTTCTTAGTTCTTAATATTACAAATTTAAATCAACATAGTGGTCATAAATGAATTATTTATTTCAAATATGTGATTAAATAGATAATATATATTTATAATTTATCCAATGCAGAATGCACTTTTGAAAATTTTATTTTTTTATTGATTGTGTGATTTGTGTTTGGTAAAAATTTAGACTCGTTTAATCAGTATTTCATTTTATACTATATTATTTTTTACGAAAAAGGGCCTAAATATTTTTAAACTATTAAAAATGGTGCAAAATTACCCTCCATCCACCTATTTGCTCCTAATAACCTTGACATCCACCTATTGGCGGTCAAAATATCCTATTATCCACCATGGGTCCGATGATCAATCTTGACCACTTTTATAGCAGATTATCATTTGAATAATTTTTAAAATATGTTCTATTGGTTAGAATTTAGTTACTTTAAATTAATTTTTAAACTCACCATTACTAATTAGATCCGACCTAAATTGATTACACTCGACTCAAGTTAACTATACCCGACCTAAATTTACTTCACCACCCCAAATTATATTAACCCACCGTTTAAAATAAATATATTTTTCATTCCCAAAATTTCACTTCCTCTTCCAACCTTACTTCCCCAAATATATTTGTATACAATCTTGAAATACACTACCTAATACACTCATGTATCGCCATAAAAATCGCGAGTGTTTTGGTAATTTTTATGATGATACATGCATATATTTAGGTAGTATATATTGGGAAAGTAAGGATAGAAGATGGCATGAAATGTTTGGAATGAAGGGTGTAGTTGTTTTAATCGGTGCGGTAAATATAAACTGGTTCGGATGTAGATGGGTCGGCTATATTTAATTTGTGTCCTATATAATTAGTAATGGATGGATTTGAAAATTGATTTTTGAATAATTAAATTGTATCCAATAAATAACCATCACATATTTTAAAAAATATTTAAATGATAATCCGTTATAAAAGAGGTCAAAATATTGGATCCAAAGATGGATGATAGGGGTGTTTTGAAAATGGGTGTATGATAGTGGTATTTGAGAGCTAATAGGTGAATGTAAGATAGTTTTGTACTATTTCAATAGTTCAAGAGTATTTTATGTCCTTTTTCATATTTTTTACATTATAAATTCAATGCAACAGAAATACACATCTTGATTGTTCGTATTTGATAGCATGTTGAAATTGTTCATGGCAAAACCGTTAGGCTAAACAAACTAATATTTAACTCACTTATCAAAAAAATTATTTTTAAACACCCTTGGTAAGATATCTGGCTCTACCAGTGATATATTTATATTTGAAAATGTTATAAAACATATTTATATATCAAATTTAACATATTGTTAATATATACAATATATTTACATACATGTACGAATGTTCAGTTCAGTTTGATTATTTTTTTAGTAAATTAAACAAACATACCAATTGCTTGGGATGGTTATATACTTAAAAGTCTGTAACTTTATTAAAAAATGATATAAAACGATGTTGATGTAAACAAAATAAATGCTTACATCTTAATATAACTGAAATATATTCAAATCAAATACTCTCTCTATTTCAGAAAGAATGATTAGTTTGATTTGGAATGAAGTTTAAGTAAAGAAAAAAGATTTTTTAAACTTGTGGTTCTATATCACAGTTATATCAAATGTATCAAAATGTCCTTTAATCATGTGGTCTTAAACATGTCACGTGGAAAGTTAAAATCAAAGTGTTGCTAAAAAAGGAAAAGGATCATTCTTTTTGAAACAGACTAAAAAGGAAATAGGATCATTCTTTTTTAAACGGAGGGAGTAAATATTCAAACCACAAATGCCCCATAGTCTAAGATGTATATTACATTTTATCACTAATAATTTCAATATTACAAAAAAAACCCTTGAAAATGGATGCAACAGGATACATAGAACATTGTAACAGAATATTGTTGTGCTAAAAAAGAAACAAATAACGTAAAATTTATTATTGTTATATTAATTTCCTAAATTAACGCCTAACTGATCATAATCACTCCATATCCTAATAGGGGATAGTTTCACGATTTCAAATTTTAAATCTTCTCCGTTGAAGACAATTTTTGATAGCCGGTTGAAAAATTCATAGTTTCAAAAAGAAACTCGATACATGATGAATATATCTATTTTGTTGAATCATTTAGAAATTTGGGCGAGTGAAGTTGATTATGAAGGTTACAAAAGTGACGAAATTGTTGTAGAGAATCAATTTCATTTTTGAATCTCCCGAATTAGAGATCGATAAGGTAAGAAAAAATATTAAAATTTGATATATCATAGAAGTAATTCTTCTCTGATGAAAATTAAGAATGATGTGGATGTTAGACTATATTTAGAAGTAAACCTGGTTTTGCAATGTATCCCTTATTTATTGATACAACAGATAAAATTGATGATGAACATAACTTTGATGAAACGTGCAGAGAGATTACGTGTGTCAAAGGTACAACTAAGGATATAGAAAATCTTGCAGTGGTTGAATCAAGAATTTGTGATTCCGATTATATTTCAAAACTATAAGTTATAAATTATATAATTGATTCAAACAATATAAATGTGAAGATAGGTCATTTTTACCAGAATAAAACAACACTAATAAATGTGATGACCAAATATAAAATAAAGCACAACTTCAGTTACAAAATAAAAAGATCTATTAGAGAAATGTATTGCGTTTATTTATCTACAAAGGTATGCGTTTATTTAAATGCATTAAAACGTGTTTTATTGGGTTCAAAACTAACGGATCCATTTTGTAAGTTTAAAGTGTGCTAAATGTATCAAACAAAATCTTTTTTTTTTTTTAATATATCGTGATATTGTTTTAAGATGTATAAATGATGATACATTTAAATTCACAATTTGTTTGATACATTATAATTTTAAAATTTTTTGTTATGGTGCTTTTGATTTTTTGTATTTTTTTTTTGTTTAATATGTGATACATTTTGAAAGTGTGTAAAAATGAGTATAACTAACGAACGTGCTCTATGAGGTTTAAAATTATCAAATTCATTTTGTAACTTTTATGTATACGTAATGTATCTAAAAATATAAATGTATTTAAAACAAATAAGAAATTTAAATGTATCATGACAAAATTGATCAATTATAAACAATTGTAAAGTGCAGGTAGGATACTAACCAAAATCCGAACAACAATTGGGTTTGTTAGTGTTGTGAATGCTTCTAAATTCATCGATCATAAACAATTCATACTCCGAAAGATATAATTCATGATATTAGAGAACTCTATGGGTTCAAATATAATTGTGATAGGTATATTTGCATCACTGAGTTGGAAAAAAACGAAACAAACATATGAAATATAGGATTGCCATTTTAATGACATCCTGATTATTCTCCCATTGATCTATCAAAAATCTTTGAACTAAACAACTTTTGTTTACAATGTTTTTTGAGTCAAGAAAATATCGCTGAATCAACTTGATACGAGTGAAATCGGGATATTTGAATTCATCAATCATTTCTGTGCTTTTTATATCGATAATAATGACAAATTCTTTGATAATGAAATGCAAAATGTTTTCACTTGCGTGACGAATATAGAGTTCATCTATACTATTCTGCTCCAGCTCAAGTAGTAACAATCAACTATGAGCGAAAATAACGAAATTGAAACAATACCTAAGAGGAATGAGAAATTCTTTGACGGGAGAAAGAAATATCTTGAAATTCAAAATCAAAATTAGAATGATAAAATTATGGGAGAGAATATGACGTGAGAAAGAAAATCTTTGACGAAAGAAGAAAATATCTTGAAATTCAAAATCAAAATTAGAATGATAAAATTATGGGAGAGAATATGACGTGATTTCAGAAAAAATAATTAGAGAGTGAAATATAGGTTAAAAGATATGGAGTTATGTATCCAAGAGTTGAGTTTAAGGGGAAAAAAAGAATTTTAGTAATATTTTAAAAAAGAAGAGAATAATAAAAAATAAGTAAACTAATAGTGTATGTATAAGTAACTTTAAGTGCAAGCAAATGAATATTTTAGTCTACTTACAAATTATATATTATAATATTCAGCATGAGTCCATAACTTCTTGCGTCTAAACACTTTACTCCTCCAAAATTCTATAATTTTGGAAAAAAGGCCCTTATGGGCTTTGTTAATTCACAGTTTGGTGTCAAAACTCCAAGGGCGGTGTTTTAGACCTAAAAGGTAGTCGCCGTTGACAGAAGAGGGCAAACTATGGGGGAAATGGCGGAGAATGATGAGTTTTACCTGAGATATTACGTGGGTCACAAAGGAAAATTCGGTCACGAGTTCTTAGAGTTTGAGTTTAGGCCTGATGGCAAGCTCCGTTATGCTAACAATTCCAACTACAAGAATGATACAATGATTCGCAAGGAAGTCTTCCTTACCCCTTCTGTTCTCAAAGAATGCCGCCGCATTGTTGCTGATAGCGAGGTTTTTTATCCTCTCCCTTTTTTTCGACTGCATTTTGTTGTTTTGGCTTACAATTAGGGTTTGGGTCAAACTCGCTTTCTCCTTTGGTTTGCAGGTGATTTTTGCTACATGTTATTTAGGGGTTTTACTTTGATTAGTGCAATGCATCGTCAGTCCAGAACACGTTTGCTGGATGATTAGTTTTAACTATGATGTGGAGGATTCATATAGCTAGATAGCCTCAGTTAATGTGAGAATGAGGCATAATTGATTGATTGATTGTCTATGGGGTGCCGTCCAATAGCTTTCGGTTGTTACTTATGTTCTGATTTAGGAAAAATCCAAATTATTTGTAGGTCAATGATTGTGGGAAGGTCAATGAGAAGACTGGAATTCCAATTTTTAGAGCCATTACCTAAGAATTGGTAGTAAAGAGCCAAAATTCTCATCCCAGGAGAAAGATAATCACCATATTTTGGGCAATTTTGGTGCAACATTCATTGCTGATAAGCAAAATTATCATTTTAATAGCATGGGAACTAGGTCAAATTTTCTAGATTCAATTAGGTGTAAATTTCTAGGTATCAATTTGTCAAAAAGAAGATTTTTCCTTGTTTCATTCATTTGAATCGTTTTCCTAGGAAGACTTCCTTAAGAAGGAGAGAAGCAGCTGCGGTGGAGGGTTGGGGTTTTTCTTTTTTCATGACTAGCTTTCGCTTGTTACTTATGTTCTGATTCTGCCAAAATCAGAGTCTTTTTTTTTTTTTATGACAAGGGAAACCCGCAGCCTCTACCCTTTGGGTGCGAACAGGATAAAACCCCGCTCCTATGGGAAGACCAATGAAAAGAGAGGAATACCAACTTTTAGAGCCATTTGGATCTAATAATGTTAGTGAAGAGGCAAAACTGTCATATCAGAAGAAAGATAACCATGTTATTTGGAGCAATTTTGGGGTTAACGTTCATTGCAACGAAGCAAAATTATTATTTTGATAACATAAAAAAACGAGATGTAAAATTTCTAGTTATCACATAAATGAACTTTTCTTGTTTGAATTGTTGTCCAAGTAAGGGTTCTTTTAGGAGGGGAGAGAGTTGTAGCGGAGGGCTGGGGTTTGTTTTGTTCAGTGTGATGTAATGTGTGTTTTTTGCAACTCCGACTTTGTATCTCTTCCACCTCTTTACTTTCTTAGTATAAATAATAACTTGACCATCATTCTGATTTCAAAATGGAAGAATTAATTTGCGTGTGTGTTTGTTGTAGATCATGAAGGAAGATGATAACAACTGGCCGGAACCAGATAGAGTTGGTAGACAGGAGCTTGAGATTGTGATGGGAAATGAACACATATCATTCACTACATCTAAGATTGGTTCATTAATGGATGTGCAGACCAGTAATGATCCTGAGGGACTCCGTATCTTCTATTATCTTGTTCAGGTTATGATCTGCAGTAATTTTCTCTTTTTTACTTCTTTATCTGAATATGTCAAAAGCTCAGATAGAAAAGCAAATATCATTCTGGCTATTTACATCCATATTTTATATTTTTACTACATATACATGTAGGTCTCATTTTATCTAGCGGAGTTTATTTTTAGAGGATCCTTTTTCTTCTTTGAAATGATCTAGACGCACTGTACTTTGTATTATTATGTTTCCCTTTTATTTGGAGCTGTACAAGCAATATGGTATTAGTTTTCATCAGCTAGATATATTACTCACTCGAAGCAGATCAGGGGTCCTAGTTGTAAACAGTAAAATGGTTGTTCATATGTGTAAATCTGTTATATGTGAACCTTCTGGACTGATCTGGTTCCAATTGCTTAGTTCCATTAGAAAAATTAACTCCCTTCAAACTCCCTCTTTAGATTGCCTTGGAAACTGGATGGTGAAAGCCTCTGTTCCATCTTTACAAGAATAGAGAAGAGTTACTTTGATTTGGACTTTGGAGATACTTCTCTTATTGCAGCTGGACTTAGTTTGTAGTCTTGTTGCTGCATAATGCTGCTTCTATGGTTGCATACTTTCTCCTTTTTTTCACCTTCCACCCTTCCAATAACAACATGGTTTGATCATGAAGAGAAAGTGATGGGTATTTATTATCGTTTTACTTCTTTTTTGTTTGGTTGGGGGAGATTATAATGATTAGGAGTAAAAGAAAAGAAAGAGCAATGGATATTAAGAATTTCTGCTGATCTTAGTCCTTTATCTTCCTACCTTACGGCAATAATGATCCAGGATGGCAAGAAAGTAGGATATTGTTGGGGGGTGGGGGGGGGATGTTTTTTTGGAGTTTAGACTTTAGAAGAATAATGGCGGAGGGGGCTAGGTGCGGAGAGGCCAGCTGAAAGTTTGAAGTCTGTGTGGTGGTATCATGAGGACTTCAGATGATCCAGGGATACAATGGCGTTGAAGTTGGTCTGACCGTATTGAGTGATAAACATCAAGGAGTCTGCCATTTTTTTCTCTAGCATATTTTATGCACCAAAAATATATGAGATTGTGCGTTGGTTAAGGAACAAAGCAGAACCTTTGGTATATAGAAATTTACAAAATGGGAACTCGGCTCAACTTATGCCAGATGTGTAGTTACTACCCCTCTGACTGGTATTTGTAATTGTGACGGCTTGACTTTGTGACACATCACACATCCTTTGCTTTTTGCGATGCATGTAGGGTGAGGCTTCATACCATAGACCCTTGTGGTCCGGCCTTTCTCTAGAACCCATGCATAGCGGGAGCTTTAGTGCACCTGGCTGCTTGTGCTTATTGAACCTAGAATCTAAGTAATTTGAAGCCGCAGGCCAAAGGATTGCCTTGATAACTGTGGTTTTACTCCTACACGGGTAAATTTAATGATCCTCTCACTTGTTTCTAAAAAAATCTCAATGATATTCTCTGATCCTTTTATGTTGGGAGAGATTTTCTAGGATTTCGTGTTCTCAACCAATCAGTTCCATTGCTTGGTTGAAATCATGGAGGGATTCGAGCTACATTTTTTTTTTGTTGACAAGGGAAACCCGCAGCTGCTACCCTTTGGATTCGCACAAGGTAGAACCCCTCTCCTATGCAATAGCTTGCAAAACACACAAGAGAGGTACCCCACACTAGGCAAGCTTGGTGTGACGAGCTCGACCCAGAAGGCAAATCCCTTGCTTTCGCTTGCAAGGGATTTTGAACTTAAGACCTCCAAACAAGGAAGTTCCAAGCCCAAACCACTGGCCACCCCGAAGGGTAGGATTTGAGCTACATATTGTCACCCTAATAATGTAAAAGTTTGCACTGGTGGTTGATTCCGAAGCACAATTACTTCCTTTTTTTCCTTCATTTTTTAGTAGTGCTGGTGGGCGGACCAGCTCTTCCATCGGTACCTGGTACCTCTCACCAGCACATGCAAGAGGCAACTCTGCTAACCATGACTTAGAAAGATGAATATAAACCACTTAAACTTTTCTAAGCACATTGAAGTTACTTGGAATATACAGAGGCTGGATGGATTAAGGCGTCAAATGACTTTTGAATAAATATATTCTATCATCTGAAGCAGATTGTAGTAAACTATGAGATGTTTTTTTCCTTTTTTTTCTTGGGATTGAGTGGTTAGAGTGGCGCTGGGAGGGATAAGGGGGAAAGAGTACTTTCTTGGACATGCATTTATATGTTTTTTATGAGTTGCTGAAGATTCCTGGGCGTTTTTCTCATTTCATAGAATGAAACTATAGTTTGTCTCCTGAACTAAAGAAGGGAAGATATTAAACTCACTTAGTTTCTTTTGCTCTAATAAGTGTTCAAATGAAACCCTGCTGCAAGTTTGTTACAGTTATGTTTTAAAGCAGAGTATGATTGTGATGCATTTCTTTTCATCAGCAGCATGTGACTGTGGGTTTTTTGTCATTGCAGGATTTGAAGTGCTTTGTGTTCTCTCTCATCTCGCTCCATTTCAAGATCAAACCCATTTAACTTGTTCTTATGGCGTATGTTAAACGTTAGCTGGATGTGCTCAGTCTCATGTTTTGAATGTGTTGAATCGTGTATCCAAAGAGATAGTGCCGTCTAATGGTTTCGAGTTTTTTTTTTTTTTTTTTTTTTTTTAAAAAACGCGTGGACTAAGTCTTTGCAGACCTTGTTTTGTGAGTAAAGATACTGTTGTGTGCTCTTTACCATTTTATCTCTTTTGCTGATTTGGTCATCTCTGTGGGAGGGTCATCTAATTAACAAATCTTAGTTGCCCTTCCAGATGCTTCTAAAAATACAAGGTTTCTCCGGCTCCGTTTCATTGTGCACGAGAGGTGGACCAAATTCCACGTATGCTTACATACTTTTGTATGTACATATTTTCTTTAATAAATAAAGGAACATATCATATGCTTTGACAGATATTATATTTTGGGAAATTTTTTAAAATGTCAATATTTTAACATTTAAGAGGACTCATTAGCAACAATTTTAATATTTAGTAAAAATGTCATTTTAGTTTGTTATGTATATTTTTATTATTTATTTTTATTTAAAGAATATAATTATTTAATAACAAAAAGGAGAAAATTAAGGGGGAATATTTCAAAAAAAGGCAAGCATCCTTAATTTTTTCATCAGTTACATTTTCAAATTAAATATAAATTTGTTTTTTTCCTCCAGAATTTTACCTTTTTAAAATTATATTCATTCCACAATATATTCTATTTATATTTATTATAGTTTTTTATTAGTTTGTATTCATTTCAATAGGTATGCCGAATTTATCTATATAGTCATTTAAGAAATATATTTGTATTTTCATATATTTTTTCCTTATATAGTTATTTTTTTCTTCAAAAATCTTGTATGTATTCATTTCAATATGTATTTCTTTTGTATTTCTATTTATTCTAGTTTTTATTTAGAATTTTGTATAATAATATATAAAATACAAAAAATTAGTATGATGAAAAAGTGAATGAAATATAAAATTGAAAAGAAATAATTGAATATTTGGTGTACTCATTCTTAAATAAAACACATAACTAGTTGACATACCTTTAGAATAAATACAAATTAGAAAAAAATATCAAATTCAGTTGACATACCTTTGTTAGTTTGTATTCTTTCCAATATGTATGTCAAATAAAATGTAGCTATGTAAGAAATACATTTGTATTCGTATATATTTTCACTATGTATTTATTTTTC